CGCTATATGCATCTATACGTGTTCAGTTCTATGATCACTATACCCCATCTATACGTGTTCAGTTCTAAGATCACTGTATGCATCTGTACGTGTTCAGTTCTAAGATCACTATATGCATATATACGTGTTCAGTTCTAAGATCACTATATGCATCTATACGTGTTCAGTTCTAAGATCACTATATGCATGATGGCGCATATTGTGAATATGAAGTTGAAGTTTTATCAATTTAGTTTGCATTTATCATATATTCAAATGTTTTGCGTTAGTATGCCTTAAATTAGCATAAAATGTCGATTCAATATCATTACTGTCATGATTAGCTTTAAAATGTAGTAATTTCTTTGCGATACGGCAGTAACCACGTAACTTTCGGACTTCCAGGGTCGGCACGTTTTGCGTTCTCCAGTACAAACCACACATGGTGCATGGTGTTTTGCGCAGAATGGCAAAAGAAGATGCAATGAACTGTCAGTTTAGCCATCATAGAAGTAGAGTCATGTGTGTAATTCTGTGTGTTGTGTATTTTTTTTTTATTTTAAATTCCCGAAAACATGTTAATAATGATAGGAATACAACTCTCACTATCATTCAACCGAGAATTCGCATTTTCCGGGAAATATAATTTTTCTTTCAACTTTCTGTTTTATAATGTATCAGTTATAGAACCAAGTTCGAGTTCAAGTCATGCCCATACATGCGACTTTTATTACGTCTTAATATTACTTTGAGCCTATTCGTGGCTAAGCTGAGTGGAACTTTATTTAAGTTAAAATCAGATTAACATTTTCACTCACTCAAATATTTCAACATATTTTGGACAACCTCTAACAAGTTGATACCTAATAAAACACGTCCAGTAGAACGTCAGTTCTTCGACTGTGTTCTGCAAATATCTACTATGTCGACCTTTGTCCGTGCGCAATGCGCGAAACACAGTATAAACTTTCCAAACAACACGCGCGCGTTTGTATTGCAGTTACTGAGATTTGAATTCAATCGTGAATTACAGTTGCCTTCTTTTTTTCTGAGAAAAGCCTATTTATTACCTCAGCTGGTCTCTAAATTAATTCTAATCGCCAGTCGTTGTCCATCTTGTATGTCTCTATCTACCGTATTTTTGTAAGAATAATTTGCAAAATCAGCAGCCAGTCCGATTACTTTCACATTTAATATTAAACTGTTTTGTCCGGGGCTCTATTACATTTACTATAATATAATGGTGCATTTGTTATGTTTGTTGCTCAATACGATGTCAGCATCTGTTGTATGGTACAATCACCAATCTTGCCAACTCCATCATTACAAGGCAACACCTCTCTTTACTTCTTTTCTGAACTGGGGGCACATAAAAACAAAACATCAAAAACATTGGCTAAAGGACATTGGTTAAAGGAGAAGGGCACCACCTACAACCCAAATATAAATTTTAATGGTTCAGAGACATCAAATCAACACAGCATTAAGGCTCTCCCAGATTATGAGGCATTACCTCCCCTCCCCAAGTAGGGACCCAATGTGAACTAGCGTCATACCAGCGGCCGGAACCTTAAAGGGCGGTGCTCGTTGCTCAGCGAGTACGAGTTTTGACCTGGGCGTGACGTTCACTAAATACTGCCGGTGAACCTTACGATACCTTCTAATCACCAAAGAAATTACTTATTTAAAGCTCGGTAGTGTCTCTGTCAAAGTCGCCATTTTTATATGAAACCCATATCACGCGTGCGTGGCGCAAAATCCACCGCCCTTTAATGGCAAGATTCGGTAAAATTCAAATTCCGATGACAGAACAGACTCGACCAGCATAAACTCAGTGGAGTCTACAGATGTCTGGCAGACAAGGTGATCAACTAGGATTTGGAGTCTATATGTTTTGAAGGATTGTGGTCAATGATACCATAGGACTTTTGTTAATGTTACCAAATTGCATAAATCTAAAAGGCCGCCATAATACCTTATAGGGGTATCACCACCTATTATTAACATTTTCAGTCAGATAAAAGGCAACATTCATATTTAAATGTAAACTACAAAAATAGTCAAGCA